CCACCCCAAGCTAGAGGTAGAGCCCAGAATGAAGTGTGGGTCTGTTGCAACTGGAGAGGGCTACAGATGAGGAGTGTGTTTCTCTGAATGTGTACAGTGGGGGGAGGGGTGGAGTCCTTGCCTCCTCTTCCCCATCACCCCTCCTAGGTGGGCGCCATCCCTGCCAACATGCTAAAACCCAATTGTGCTGTTGTTTCAGAATCCAGCAGGCAGCCACTTTGATCCACTACTAATTCTTTATTTAAGAAAGATTCACAACTCAATTACACCAGGTAACAATAGCTCACAGTCAATAACACAAAACACAAGCCCAGCCAACATCCCATCTGACCAGGGGACACGGATTGAGATGAGGAAAAACAAAGAAATTACAGCATCAACGCGTTCGGAGCGCTAGCTTGCAATTTCCAGTAAATTGGAATCACTGCGAGTCATTTTCCCCACTTGACTGGCAGGTATATTAATTTCTCGTCATTTGTCAACCATCAAAAGTAAATTGTTTACCGGGTTTGGGGAGAGCATGTCAGAGGCGGGGCTGTGGTGGTTATTCTGGCGTGGTTTGGCATGGGAGGATTCCCTGAATCCAGGCTCTGGAGCACTGAGCCAATGGGTGCTTTATCAGAGGACAGTTCCAGGTGAAACTGGACAGGATTGGACCCAGGACCTCTGGCTGTGCCCTGATCTACCCAGCTCCCCACTCTCATTTGCTCATCCCTTCTGCCTCCCAGGAGTGACCCCCAAGAAGAGCACAGGCTGGCAGGGGTGCTCTCTAAGAGCCTCTACAGGGGCCCCTCACTGACTGTCCTCCAGCCCTCAGTTAGGTTCCATATAGAATTCTCACCATCACCAATATTATTATTCTCATCCCCCCTTTTAAACTACCAAAGGGCCCAGAGAAGGAAGGTAATTTGTCCAAGGTCACACAGCTATTGAGTAAGACTGATAAAGCCAGGACAAGAAAGTCAAAAGCAAGACGCCTCCACCATGAACTTGAAGGAGGCAGTGGTTTGGTCTCATCCAGTGCAGGGTCAGCACCTAGAAGGAGGAACTGCACCGTCTAGGTACTGCCTGCCCTGAGTGTTAGGGGAAAAAAATCCCAAGACAAGCTGCTCCTCTGGCACAAAGAAATCAGATTAAACCAAACTAAAATGCCCATGTTTTATTAAGTACAGCACTCTCCGGTGCCTGAGAGCAGGGGAGACAGAAAAGCAGGGAGCTCATGTAAACCCAGACCACGTGTTCCTTCTCTGGGTGCCCACTTAAATGCCCTGTGGGAGTTCAAATCCTGGCATGCTGGAATTTGGAGTCCAGACCAATGCAGCTCCCAGGCCAGGGGGCTGGGATGGATGCCAGGGGCTAGGGGACACTCGGAACTTACCACTGAGGAGCAAGGCTGGGATTGGCTCCAGGTTTAAGTGAAGGCAAGCCCTGGTCTTTCTCACTGTCTCACGTCACTCTGAGGCAGAACCAAACTTAGAGTATTAAGAAAGTTAAGCTCTAGGTTTCAGGCCTTGGGGAGAGGAGGAAGCATCCACATCTTCCCAAAACCTCCACAATCCCCTAAACACTGAGTTCCTAACTCAGAAATGCGTGTCTGAGGCCACCACCGGGAGTAAGTGCCACTCACTGACACCTGGTGGTCAAGCTTTGCTATTGACTCTGGAGACCCTGCCTTGGCCTTGCCTAGACTAATAGCTGTTCCTTCAGTAGTGGGAGTGGAGGCTCCTACAGGTCAGCTGGGTTTGCTCAGACCACACAACCAGGATGTCCAGGACTAGAGCCAGTGAACGGCTCATAGCTCAGGGCTCTTGCCAGCCCACCTCACTGCCAAGAACTGAGCTGAGATCTGGAGGGAGGTGGTGGAGTTTGGATCACTGGAAGAACAGGAGAAATACGAAGGCAGGCCCGGGAGGTGGGGGGATGAAGTCAGGAACAAACAACTTCCGAAATATAATAATTTGGCTAAATTTAAACCTGTGAAAGAGTTCAGAATGATTCATAATGCATGCAGATTGATGCAAATGAGCATGCAAATGATGCAGGCAGGAATGAGCTGCCTACCTCTCTGCAGTGAGCAGGATGGAGCAGGACAAGGACTTAGGCAGAAGTTTTCCAGGCAAACCCCATCTTGGAGTGGAAATGAGACCTTTTCATGCAACCTGACCAAGCCCTAGAAATCATCTTTCAAAGCCAATATTATCATTATCTTTTTTTTATATTGCTAAGAAACTGGGGCTCAGAGAGGGAAGGTGATCTGCCACAAGGTCACACAGCTATTGGGCAAACAGGACAGAGCTGAGGCCTCCTGCACATTTCCATCCTGAGACTGTCCTTCTCTGGAAGCCACACTGCCTACTCCACAGTCCTCTGCTCATGTTTCTCTTAGCTGAATAATTCTGTTCCTTCTCCCCTTCCACCAACAAGCCCCGCCCCCGCCTCTGTTTTTTGCCATCCTCACACCTTTGTCTCTCCCTCTCTCTCTTTGAGACAGGATCTCAGGTAGTCTAGGCCGGCCTGAAACTATGTAGCTGAGGATGGTCTTGAACTTCCCATCCTCCTGTCTCCACCTCTCAGGTACTGGAATTACAGATACATGCCCCTGCATCTGGCTTTAGGCAGTGCTGGGCATCGAACCCAGGGCACATGTGTGCTAAACAAGCCTAACTACATCCCCAGCCCACTCCTCTTGTCTATCCCCCCCATCTTCCCAATTCAGGGCATGTGTGTGCACGCGCATGTGCGTCCCCATGTATGTGAGTCTCTGCACAAGACTCATGCAGAGATCAGAGGAGAACACTTATTCTCTTGAGACAGGGTCCCTTACTGAGTCTGGAACTATGGGGGCAGCCCCAAAAGTTCCAGCAATCCTCCTTTCTCCACCTCCTAACCCCACAGTGCTGGAGTTACAGGTGTGAATTTGAACTCATATCCCTAGGTGTGCACAGTGAGCTCTCTCTCTTATCTGCTGAGCCTTCTTCTCGGCTCTCTGTTGTTCATTTGCAATGTATCAAGAGTGTTTGGTTGAAGGTCAGAAGGCATTGGTGTGTGACTTCTTGGGCCCCTCTTCGTTAACATCCATGTGTCTCCCAGCTGCACACATGGGAGAGGAAGAAGTGGACCTCAGTCCACCACTGGCCAGCTGTGCGGCCTCAGCTGTCTTCATCTCCCTGAGCCTCAGTGTCCTCGTCTTTCAAATGAGATTAGTCACCTTTACCATGCACCAGCATGTGCCACAACAGGCACATCAGAGCATGTGCCCTTCCTTCTCCAAACCTACAACCTCGCTTCCCCAACACGAGCCACCAGCTGCCGCTGGACATCAGAGAGGCTCCCTGCCTCTTCACATCCGATCATACAAGCCCTGACTCATATTGTCTACTCTTTGGTCTTGTCTGAGAGTCCTCCTATCTGTCACCCCCCAGCACAAAGTCACCTTCAGACCTCCAGTTCACCCCGGTGCCTCCACCTCTGGCACCTGTCAGTCCTCTGGCCTCCTGGCGCTGAGAATCTGAGGACATTTTCTCCATATTCTCTGTGGACATTTGCTGCACCCATCATCGCCATTACGTCATCTCTCTTTGTTTTGAATGACCATATGGGTTTGAAAGGGAGTATGACGCTATTCCTCTATCGGAAAAGAGGCTGAGTCCCCAAAGGGGGCACCAAAGCTCTAGTCTCGGAGCCCCACACCTGCCTCCACAAGAGAGAGCCACCCTCTCATATGGTGAGGTCTCTTTGCATTTCCCAGTTTCTTCAGAAGCTCTTGCAGAACCTGGAACCCATCTCAAGTCTTAGCCTGATGCCCATCCCAGCATTTAAGAAATGCAAGCAGGTGCCTGAGCGGCCAACTCAGTCATGAATGCCAGATTCCACTTGCATTGCATGGAGAACCCAGGTTCTTATCTGTTGTTTTAGAAAGCAGCCACCATTGCATTAGAAAACAGCTGTCCTCAGGACTGTCCCTGCAGAAAGGACCTGAACTGCCCCTTGAGAGAGACTTGAGGGCGGGTCTCTACATGTTCGGAACACTGGGTGTTTACAGAGCCATTGGAATGGGGGCAAAGCTGCCTTCCATCTCTTGCTGGCTTCTCATTAACAAACCTTGCAACTGAACACACGGGGACGTGAGAACCCTCCCTGGGCCCCTGGCAACCGTCTTCAGGGAGGCATTTGTTAGTGTTTGTCAGTTGATACGCTGACTGTCTTTAAGACATTCCATTCCTCTGCCACGGTTCACAAATTGAGTTTTCCCCCCCATCCTTGCTTGGCTTCATCTCAGCTATCTCAGAGGCGGCGGCAGATCTAATCCCACATCCCCACGCTCTGTTTTTATTTTCATCGTGATCAGTTGTTCGTTGTCTGCACAGATTGCTCCAGGAGGAGGTACTGCTGGGATGGGATAAACAATCTGGGCTGATAAGTACCCTCTCCTCGGATGATGCTCCCTGTTTGGGGGCCCCGAGGAGAGACTTTCAAACTTCGTACCAAGCCAGTTTCTGCTAGCTGCTACAGCGGTTCACACCCATGAACAACAAACACTTACTGAGTGCCTATTGTGTAGCAACCCTGGGGACTTCAAGGCTGAATTCCTTTATCATCCACAACACTTGTGGGATAAGAGAGCGGGTCTTTTCTTTTTCCAGTTATATATTAGAAACAGAAAGGCTGTTTGTCTAGGGTCTCATGGTCTTTTGATTCTGGGTTATGAAATCCCATCCTGAATAGGGTCTAGGTGCTCAACCCCTTCCCAAACCCGCTCCCTCCCTATCTCACTCTCTTGAATATCTGGCTAACCCCACACCTTCTACCCCCCTACCTTCCTAACTCTGTGACTGAGTAACTCCACCACCCCATCCCTGGACTTCGGACTGCAACTGCTTTCTCCCAACAATGGGGAGTGATCTCCCTCCTGGAGAGATGCTTGGGTCCCTGAAAACCCATGGGTTGACAGGTGGCTGGGGATCGGTCTCCGACCGCCATCATGTTTTGATCTGTTGCAGCATCTCAGGCTACGGAGCAGCTGGTGGGAAAGGCGGGAAGAACACCATGATGCGGTCTCATGGCGTGTCTGTCCTGGGCATCTTCAACCTGGAGAAGGATGACACGCTGTACATCCTTGTTGGCCAGCAAGGGGAGGATGCCTGTCCCAGGGTAAGCACCCAGAGCAGGGGCTTGTCCCAGCACCAGGGGAGGTGTGACCTCTTGGAGGACAGTAACCTCCCATGATCCTTCTGGGGGACTCACATTCAAAGTCTTGCACCAGCTCCACCTGTGAGTCCCCCTCCTTTCCTAGGGCCATTTGATGCATGAAGACACAGGGAATGTCGGCCCATGGGAGTTTTATAGCCCTATAGGAACCACAGCTGAAGCTTGGGTCTCATAATTGACTTAAAGCCAAAGGTCTGAATCCTAAGTTGACCAAGGGAAGATGTTCTCCACAGAAGTAGGAGAGGGAGCCCCCTTCTGAATGCTCTGGCTGACACTCTGTTGTGCTGTATTTAGCCATATTATTATGAATATTGAGAAAAATTAAAAGGCTTTACGTTCACTCAAAAATTAGACATATGACCACATCTCAGTGTACATACAAGAAGCAAAAAAGTGTCCTGAAAGATTCAGCTTCAGTAGCTGTGCTTCTTGGGATGACACTGGATTGGGGTGGCCACCAATAGTATCCGAAATGATACAAAAAGAATGTTTTTGGGCCTTGGATGCAACTCAGTTGGTAGAGTGTTTGCCTAGCTTACACGAGTTTGTGGGGGAGGGGGGAGGTTGTTTGTTTCCCTGAGCGTGGTGGAGCTCATCTGTAACCCCAGCATTTGTGAGATGGAAGAAGGAGAATCAGAAGTTCATGGTCAGCTTTGGCTTTGGAGTTTGAAGTCATCCTGGGATTCATGGACACAGAAACCCCTAATTCAATGTGTGTGTGTGTGTGTGTGTGTGTGTGTGTGTGTGTGTGTGTATATATATATATATATATATATATATATATATATATATATATTAAAAGAAAGAAGACTGTCATCACAAATTATTTATTTGTGTGATTAAAACTAAAGAATTTAAAGTGTAGACCAGACTGAGTCAGAAGGCTGGTAGCCTGTTTCCCATTAGTTAATTTTCTGTTCTGACAAAGCACCTGCCAGAAACAATGTCTGGTTTGGAAGATTCATTTCGGCTTATGGTTTCAAAGGGTTTATGTCCATCATTGTAGAGAAGGCTTGGAGGATTTCATAACAGCAGATCTGGAAACAGAGAGACAGAGGCAGGAAGCAGGGGCAAGTAAAACCTTCAAGGCCCATCCCTAATGTCCTGCTTCCCCCAGCTAGGCCCCACCCCCTAAGCACCCCACCACTTCCAAAACAGCATCTTCAACAGGGAAACAAACATTCAGACTATAAGCCCATAGGGGATGTTTCAGAATTAAACTTTATACTCCCATTTTATAAATGAGGAAGGGGAGGGGAACCATGAAGGTGAAAGAACTTGCCCAATGTCATTCACAAAGTGGCCCAGAACTCAAGAGCATTTGTTTTGGCTGCATCCTACACTTGTCTGAGCCTTTGTTTCTGTGACCTTCTTCCCATTTCCACTTATACAGCCCATTGCTGGGCAAGCCTCTGTGATCGCAAAGACAGCCTGGCTTTGTGTTTCTAACCCCGCTGGGGTGTCTACCAGTCAAAGACAAGTCCAACAGCAGAATCTGAGAATGCCCAGAGCAGTTGAAAGACAGTGCGGACTCACTAGAGAGCAGCTAGGGAAGCCCCAGACACCCCCAGCTGTCTGGCTCTTGCCTCACCAGCGTTAGCAAGGTGGCAAGACCCTGGCAGTACTGGCTATGCTGGCAGGAACTCAGGCCCGAGGATGGCAGATTATCCTGCTTGGGTCAGGCTAACGCCTCCCTGAGGCATAGCTTTGCTGGATCCTGGGAGGACAGACAGGAAGCAGGGACTACCAAGAAAGCAGTTCAGTTCCACCAAGAAACTCGGCTCCAAAGAGTCAAGTGATGGACTGTGAGTTCAGGGGGCAGCAAGTTCTCACTTCCTGGTACCCCACTCCTCCCTGCGTTAGCACAACACTGGAGGATCTAGCATGGTGTGTACAACCTCCCGTCTGAGAAATGCCTCCACTCCAACTTTTATTTAGGAATTATAATCAGGATTTTGCAGGCTGTTATAATATATTAAGTCATTAAATTACATACTGCTGTAATTTTCACAGGAATTTATTGAGTGCTAATGTAATTCTTTCATCTAAGTAGAAAGATTGCATTGACTTCTGCAAGGGACTTTTACTTGATTGGATTGTAATCAGTTATGTCTTTTCACAGGACTGTGTCCTTTTTTTATTTAATTCAATTGTAATCTACTTGCTCCTCTAGGTTGCTGCACTTTATCATTCTTATTAATCAACCTACTCGTTCTCAAACTTTGTGGATGCATACAGAGCATTCCCAAGGGGACAGGAGGAGGCCGTCTCGGTCCTGAGCAGAGGGAAGCGCCCAATGTTGGTCAGCCAGGCATGCCATGCACACTTGGCATGGGAAGGGTCTTCCTGGTTCCTCTACACCCTCCCTGTGGGTCCTTAGGCAAGAAGGACATGCTGTCTTCAGGCATTGTCTCCACCTCCAATTTCCACTAGGAAAAAAAAAAACAAATGAGAATGAAGTAAACTCTAAGAACTGAGCTACTACAGTTTAGCTGGCCTAACTGCCCTCTACCTGGTGCCTGGCCATCCCAAGCTCCTGGAATAGGAAGTTGGCTCCAGTTGCTGCTGGAAAACACCTCTGCACAGACAGACAGACACAGAGAGAGACAGACAGACAGAGACGGAGAGAGAGAGAAAAAAAACAGGAAGAGAGACAAGCAGAGACAGACAACAGAGAGATCGAGAGATAGGGACAGAGAGAGGCACACAGGGAGCCAGGCAGAAACAGAGAGATCCTATTTCCTACAAGGTCTTGCCTCCTAGCGTGGGGTTCTAAACCAGACTTCCTCCACAAAAGCACTACTGGTATTTTAGAGTAGAGTTTCTATATTGCACCGAGGGGCCTGCCCCTTGTTGCCTGTGGTGTTTAACAGCAACAACCTCCTCCTCCTCCTCCTCCTCCTCCTCCTCCTCCTCCTCCTCCTCCTCCTCCTCCAGCAACAACAAGCAAAATGAGCCTCCTGGAAATCCCTGCCGGCCCCTGGATGGCAGAGTCACTAACCTAACTGCCAGATCCCATACTCTCACCCATCAACTACCAGGAAGCCCAGTGCCTGAGCCAGACAGTCCTCTGTTCATTCAAAGTGATTCCACAGACATGTACTGAGTCACTGTGTGTGGTATCCATCATTCTAGGAAAGTGAACAAGGGAGATCCTTGCACATAACTTACACACAAAACACTTTCCTTCCAGCAAAGAAAGGAGTTGGCCAAGGCCTAGTCCCCGAGGTGAGATTGTGCCTGTGCATCTGAGGGGAGGAGGAGAGGAGCAAGCAGGTAGATAAGAGAAGAGGGCCAAGGAAATAGACTGGGCCAGGCCACTATAATGGCACATTCCACAGCCTCACAGCCAAATGATGATATAATAGAATGTGCCTGCAAGGTCTCGCTGTGACTGCACCGTGAAGCTTCGATCTCACAAGGACAAGGAGTCAAGTACCAGAGTCAAAGGCTATTTCATTCATCCAGCAAGAGATGCTGGTGGCTTAGCCCAGAGTGGCCAAAGCGGAGGTGGTGGAAAGTGATTGGATCCTGGGCATGTTTAGAATGTGAAATTCATAGGGGCTTCCTGCCTGATTATATGAAGAACTGAGAGAAAGAAAGGTCAAGAGGGACTCCAAGGACTAGGACTGAGTAGTTTCTGTCACATGCCGGAGAATGCTGCAGAAGGGACAGCTTGGGCTGGACTCATGCCTAAAATCCCAACAAGTTTGAGGTCAGAAGCCTGAGCTACATCATGAGTTCTAGGGTAGCCTCAATTACAAGTGAGACTGTAAAAAAACAAACAAACAAAAAAAACCAAAAAACAAAACTCAACAGATTTTGTGGCAAGGTCAGGAGGTCAAGGTCAAATACATTGACTATGGTGATCTAGTAGACAACGGGAGATGGAAGATGGACAACACCGATAGACCTCTGGGGTTTAAAAGACAGGTCCAGGGAGGAAGATATCAGCCAGCATCGAGTTCAAACGAGGGCTGAGGTTGCCTATGGCGTGATACAGAGGTGAGGAGGAACCGAGAATGAGCCCTGGATCCCCAGCATTTAGAAATTAGAAGGAAAAGAAGAGGAGAGAACAAGGAGCCAGGGAGGGAAGAGGGACGCGGGGCAGGGGACATCCTAGGAATCAGGGGACGTGCTGTGTCTCCACCAGAGCGGCTGCTAAGTCAGAGGGATGCTAGCTGAGAATGGATCATTTCTTGGGTGCCCTCTGCCCTGGTTTCAAGGGCTACATGGAGCAGGCACATGAAAGACTGGCCATCTCGAGCCCCACTGTTCTTGCCCAACACTGTATCCAAAGTCCCTAAAATCAGTTCTCTCAGAAAAAGCATCCCCAGGATGTGGAGGTCACACTGCTAGCTGCCGGAGCAGAGTCAGGTGTGGAAGTCAGTCTTCTGAGCTCTGCTGGTCCACGCCAGACAACCCTTTGGTTTAGAGGTGGAGGAGACTCCAGGTCCCTGAGAGCCTCACAAAAGTACTGCTCACCCGGCAGCCCCCTTGCTCTCCCTCTCCCCCTGCACCCAGCCTTAGGGCAGGCTTGCTGCCACTCATTCCTGTCCCAGGATTCTCCCTACAGCTCTGGGCATCACTACCTACACACAAGAAAAGTGTTTAGCTCTACCCCAGCAGTCCAGGACTTTCCATGCACACTAAATCCAGTCTAAGAAATGTCAAATTATTTCCATCATTAAATCCAAAATGCCATAAAACAAATTGCATCTCGGCTGTTTATCTGGAAATTTCTCAAGTACTCACTGCCGGCACTCCTGAATTCTTTAGCATAAGGAATGGCTCGAGATGGATTGCCGTGTCCACTGGCTGGTTATACAGCGGCGTTTGATGAAAATTTGATGTTTTATTGGCTTTTATTCCATTAAGTGAAAGGAAAGTAATTTTCTTCTGAGGTCAGTCTGGTGTTTAAAGAATTCATCTGAGCTGCAGCAGCCAAACCAGGTGTGACTGTTCTTCAGCCGGTAGACTCTTCCTCCCAGAATTCCAGGGTTCTGGGTTCCAGACATCCAAGCACGGTCACTCCCACATCCCACCAGGAGCCTGTGGGGCCCAGAGGTGAATCAAATGAAATGCTAACTCAACCATCTCCCCAGTGTGACACTCAATGGTAGTGGCTCACCTCCAAATCACCATGTCACTGTTTCCTTCCCACACCTCAAGACCACTGGGTCACCCAAAGTGGTGCTGAGTGTAGCTGTCGGATCCCAAGGTCCGCTCCCTCTTGCACATGGCAGCCAAAAGACTCTACCCTCTTCCTGGCCTTCGATGTTGGAGATGTCTAGAAACAAGAAATGGGACATTAGGTAGGAGGGATGAGATGACTAAGATGGAGACATGACTTTCCCAAAGGGGATCCGAGAATGAAAATTCCTCTACTGGGTTTTGTTTATTTGTTCTGTATTTATTTTTAATTCTCTGCATAGTACTGCAGAACTGAAACTCGAGAGAGAGAGAGGGCTTCTTGACTCTCCACTCCAAAATCTAATTCTGATCATCCACGAGGCCCCTTGCCATGACCAGGCTGCTCGTCTAATCCTTGAAGTTACCCCAATTCATGTGCCCTCCACCCTGTCCCACAGCCCAGGGTCTTCTTCAGCAGCCACAGGATCCTCACCGGTCCGTCTGGACTGAGTTAGACTTGGCTTAGCAAGAGAGCCTTAAGCCTTTCCCACACACCCCACTTACCTCCTTTCCTGCGGGTCATGCTACTCTTTCCTCTTGGGATGACCCGAATTCCCTTCTCTGTCCTGAATCCTTTCCTGCACTCCAGAGCCCACCTAGAAGCCCCCTCCTGCAGGCAGTCCTCAAGCTGCAAATCCATCCCCCTAGCTTCTCATAACATTTGTATGCACGCTGGCCTCGTGGCCTTTCTTAACACTGCACAAAGCGTTTGTGTGGATTTGTTATCGTCTTCTCAATTCAACCATAAGCTGTTTGACACGTGATCAGAACCCACCTTCAGCATACAAGGTCCAGGTCTTGGGCACAAACCCAACGAGGTGGTTTGTTTTGTTGGCACAGGCGAACCAACTAATCCAGAAAGTCTGTGTTGGCGAGAACAACGTGATAGAAGAAGAGATCCGAGTCAACAGAAGCGTGCACGAGTGGGCAGGAGGAGGTGGAGGTGGGGGTGGAGCCACCTACGTGTTTAAGGTGAGGTCTCCTCTGAAAGATGAAGCAGTGACTTCTGCCCACCATGATGTTATAGTCCCAGAACAAACCTAAATAGAAACCCCCGGCATGTTCTATGTCAAGTTAACGACAAGAAACCACGCCCAGAGGGAGTTCAGGTTTGCCCACCCAAGAAAGGCTATGCAGGCGCGCTACACCTAGTCTTTGCCTTCAGGGCTCCTTGTCTGCCCAGACCAGGCAGACTTTTCTAACACTTCCTAGGCCAGGCTATAGGCTGAGAGCAGAGTTTCTTGCTGGGCGCTCCCCTTGGAGATAGCAATGCTAAGGGCTTATTCTTCAGCTTGTGGGGGGTCCAAGAGATGACTGAAAGTATAGAAAAGAAAGACCCGCTTTTTTCTAATCACCAGCAACAAACCTTCAAGGACTTCAGAGAAGGGGTTGGGGAAATGATTCTTTAAGATCCATCCATTTGTAACCTAAGAGGTGGGTGCCCTAGTGGGCTTGCATCACGGATTGGACTCGAACTGATATAGATAGCAACTGATCAGAGAAGGTTACTATAACATCAACTTGGGGCTCTCAAACCCCTACAAATGGAGAAGTCACTCCACTGGTCTGCACATTGTTAAATTTAAGCATTGAAACTGGGGCATAGCGTCTCCCCAATGGATGCCTAGCTCGGTCTCTCCATCTCTGAATGTCTCCCCCGGGCAGATGAAAGATGGAGTACCTGTACCCCTGATCATTGCAGCCGGCGGTGGTGGCAGGGCCTATGGGGCCAAGACAGACACGTTCCACCCAGAGAGACTGGAGAATAACTCCTCAGTTCTAGGGCTGAACGGCAATTCCGGAGCCGCAGGTAAAGCCCCACCCTCTCCCAGAAATCTCTCAGGGACCCTGAAGGCATCGTTGTCACTATTCCCATTGATGCCAATATCAAGGGAAGGGGGCACGCATCACCCTGCTGCCTCTGAAGCTATCTCGCTAGCTTGAGGCTTGCTGACTAACCCTAGGAAGATCCAGCACCCCAACCCTTCAGTTTCTAGAGCTGACAACCCCCCTCACACACACACATGCACACACATACACACATACCTTGCCAGGGGGCCTCAACCCAGATTTGCTTGCTATTGTCATGAATTGGAGGGTGTTACCCATCTGGGCTCCATTTTGGAAGCCTGGTTCTCTAGCACTAGCATCTGGACATCTTTACCAGAAACCCTGACTCCTTATGCCCTACTACTGCATTGCTCTCTCTGGGTCAGGGGGACCTCGGCCAGGTCTGGTAGGTTAACTCCTACAGTCCCAGGGGGTCCACTCATGATGTGACTCTATTCCTTCTGCCTGGGTTTCCAGATCCCACTGAGATCATCTATTGGAGTCGTTGGGTTAGGTGTCAATGGGAATGTCATATGGAAGAATAAGGGAGGGGAGGGCACTGGACTCTCTAGGACCAACAGGAGACGGCCCTTGGGGTCAAGTGCTAGGGGCCACATACAGCCTCAATTCCCTTTCCAAGAGCTCAAAGCAGCCCCTGGGATTCCCAGACACATTTCAAGTGATTACCACTATCACGGGGCATCACCCACCCTCACTGAGCTTCTCTATAGCACTGAAGCAGGCTGAGCCAGGCACGGGGCAGCCGGCAAGCAAGAGTTCTTCCTGTCACACCTAACTGGCTCCACACTTGGCACTTGGAGGGATGTTTCAAGCACTCACTCTGGAGGCTTTAACATCAGTGCTCAATGTGACTTCAGTCTCACTATCTCTAAGTCACAGGTGGGGCAATTGAGGCCTAGAATGGGGAGGTCCATGTCCTGGATTTTACATGCAGCAAACAGTGAAACCCATGGAACTAGTTAGACCCTGAGCCTGCAAGAAACCAGTGCAGTGACCCAGTAGAGCAGGCAGGGTCCCAGAAATCTCTCGGGAACCCTGAAGGCATCATCGTCACTAGGCACTGAGTGATGGAAGCTGTTCCCATTAATGCCAATATCAAGGGAAAGGGACGGGTAGGCATCACCCTCCTGCCTCTGGAGCTATCTTGCTGGCTTGAGGCTTGCTGACTAACCCTATGAAGGCCCAGGACCCCAAACCTGCAGGTACTCACCAGTTGGCCACCGAGACAGTGGGCCACAGGTCTCATTAAGACGGAAACAGTTAGGTGAAAGTACACCTTCAAGGGGTGGCAGCCATGCAGTAAGAAGTTCCACCATCATTCTGCCTGTCCCCGGTGTCCCCCAAATACCTACTGGAGTACACTGCCTACTCCTGAGCTAGAGAGGCCTGCCAGGAAGCAGGGCACCAAGCCCCACAGCTGCATAGGCACAGGGTGTGGCCTAAGCAGTATCCCTAGTGCCAACAGCATGCTACTCCTAGCTTCCACCATGAACTAGGCCCCGGAAGAGAGCCAATGGGAGTACCCCCACCAACCAGCACCCACCTTCCCCAGCTCTGTTCCCCCTCCAATCCTGCCCGCTCCTCAGCAAGACCTCTCATCTCTCTCGCAGGTGGTGGAGGCGGCTGGAATGATAACACTTCCTTGCTCTGGGCCGGAAAGTCTTTGCTGGAGGGTGCCGCTGGAGGACATTCCTGCCCCCAGGCCATGAAGAAGTGGGGGTGGGAGACAAGAGGGGGTTTCGGAGGGGGTGGAGGGGGGTGCTCCTCAGGTGGAGGAGGCGGAGGATATATAGGTAAAGATGATTCGTGTTCTAGGTGTCACTCTTTCCCCCCCTCTTAGTCCTAGGCTCCTCCCTCCCTGTCACCTCCCTGCCACCCCCCTGTCCCCCCAGTGTAGACTGTGATGTGACTGCATGCTCCCCTCCCCCCCCCCGCCCCTCTGCCTGGCTTGGGCCCGCCAGAGGTAGGGTGTTGGCTTCTGAGCCAGCATTCTGCCTCCAGGCTTGTGTAGAAGCAGCATCAAGATCCTATGTGATCCTTGGTCCCTCGCCCCTTCAAAGCTGAACATGAAGTGTTTGGCTTTTCAGATGGCTGCATAAGCCACCACAAGAATCAGGCAGCCCTGAAGAGCAGACTCTTTTAGCCCCTACTGCTCCTTTTGGGGTTCCTGGCCAAGCCGGCATTGACAGGAACTGGTCTGCAGTTTCATGGTCTCCCCGCTCTCTGTTTTCTGCCCAGCCCGTTAGCTGCTACAGAGCGGGGCTATCCACTAGCGGGTGGGAACCACTCCCAGAAGCCACCTCCTGGCATCTTCATCCCAAACCTGCAGCAAACAGCCTGCTGTTGATCTCCCCCACTGCCTTGGGAAGAGCTAGCAGCTAAGAACCTGGCAGATGATCCCCCCACCCTCCCCCAGACTAGGATACACTGCATGCCCGCACTGTGACGTTCGTGTCTGTGTTTCGCTTTGTCGCTGTGTGAAAAATGCTTGTGCTAACCACACAAGCTTCCTTTCCAAGCTTTGGGGTGAATGGGAGGACCCCAGGGGGGAGCCCCGAGATCACCCAGTCCCAGATGAAAGGAGGGACAGGAGCCTGAAGGCACAGCAGCTAATCTCCCCCTCAACCCTGGCCCATCTTGACCCCCAAGTGTCTGGAGAGCAACTTCTCCAAGCCATAAGGATGCACCCCAATTTCAAGAGACTAGAACCTTCTAGGCTCTTGTTCACTTGTTCCACTTAGTACTGGGACCTCATCAGTGTGGTAGAGACTCCCCTGGATGTTCTGGCCCCAACCTGGAGAGGAAACTGACCCACACACCCAACATCTGCAGGGCTAAACCAAAGTGCAGTCTCTGTGCCTGGAACCTCCCTTCCCTCTCCACCTCCCCACCCCACAGGCCCCCCAGTGACCCACAGCTTTGGCAAGAAATGCATGCTTGTTAATGTGCATGTGTGTTGAGACTTGGGCACCCACCTTTTGGGGTTCAACTCTTCTCTGGTTTGCCATAGGTGGCAACGCAGCATCAAACAATGACCCCGAAATGGATGGGGAAGATGGGGTTTCCTTCATCAGTCCATTGGGTATTCTGTACACCCCGGCCTTAAAAGGTACCCCCTCTACCAGGTGACAGTACAAACTTAAGCCACTTCTTTGACCAAGCCAACACCTGGACTTTATTGGCATGGGTCAGGACGCCAAGGCATGGGCTACAGGCCGCTTTATGATACAAGTCTTCATATAGCTCATCTTATCATATTTTCTGGAAGTTGGGGTATGTGGTTGAATGTAGGGAGAGGGAGAATGTGGACCACCAGGCAGGCAGGTCCTAGAAAATGACCCAAGAGTACCTAGAACACCTGTACCAATGTCAGAGCCCTGAATTGGGATCTCTCACTTACACAGAGACAAACGTATATCCTCAATCTCAGCTCTGCTCACCAGGGGCCTCAAAATGCTTCACCAAATAGAATGTGCTTGGAGTGGCAGAGGGACCTGGGACAGGGAGAATAAGAACCCTCAGCAAGTAGCCAGAGATAAAGTTCAAAGTTGGGGAGCTGAGGGTACAGGGCGACCGATCTTCCTGTTAATCCTGAGACTGCTCCTCCCCTCCCCCTTGTCACCAGTGATGGAGGGCCATGGGGAAGTGAATATCAAGCATTATCTAAACTGCAGTCACTGTGAGGTAGACGAATGCCACATGGACCCCGAGAGCCACAAAGTCATCTGTTTCTGTGACCATGGGACCGTGCTGGCTGACGATGGTGTCTCCTGCATTGGTAAGGAACAGCAATGGGAGATGGGAAGAGGGCCAAGGCTTGAGCCAACTGAACAAGCCCAGCTGGTTTCTAAGTGTCTTGCCCCTCTCTTGCTCATGTTCTGGTAACTGAAAAAAGAGACCTTGTACACAAGGTGGGCTATCACACCTGATGTGGTCTCAGAATCGCCTATGCCCTTCCCTCAGCCAGGAGACAAAACCTCTGACATCTTCACCAAGGGGCTAGGCATTCCTTTTCTACCCAAGTACCCAGCAACAGGGCTAGGTTTAAGGAGTTTCAGAGCCAGGTCCATGCCTTTGAGCTTCCGGTATATGGTTTCTGACTGGACCCAGCCTTAGCACACACATTCCATAAGGATGCTTCTGTCTTTGAGACTTCTCCAGATTCAAGAGCTAGTTGTTCTGATCACACAGATAGAGCCCTAAGCCTGTTTGCCACGCTGGAATCCCTCTTCTACACATGCTCCAAGTCTCCCCTGAGACATGTCCAAGTCAGTCCAGGGCTTACAGCCCTGTAATCCCAGTAGAAACAGAAGAATGGAAAGTTCAAGGCCTGTCTGCCACAGAGGGAGTTCAAAGCTAGCCTGAGGAACTTAATCAAAGCCCATCTCGAAATAAAAAATAACAAAGACCTGGGGTTGTAATTCAGTGGTACAGTGCCTGCCAGATGTACACTAGACCCTGAGTTCAATCCAAAGGGAGATTGTGGGTGGAAGAAGGGAAAAAGGGAAAAGAGAAAAATATACATGAAAAAAATGGAGAGGAGTCTGGAAAGGGTAGGGAAGAGGAGGAGAGGAAGAAGGAGAAAGGAAGGAGGAAGAAGAAAGAGAAAAGAAAAGAAGAGAGGAGAGGAGGGGTAGGGAGAGGAGAGGAGAAGGGAGGAGGAAAGGAGTAGAGGTAGGGGCAAGGAAGGGAAGGGAAGGGAGGGGAGAAGATGGTAGGGAAGGGGAGGCAAGGAGAGGGGTAGTTTTTTGAATCAGATTATAGCCTGGCTAGGAGAGAGCTTCCAGGACCTTCCCCTGTTCTGGGACCATAAGAAGTAATTCCACATCTGGGGATGTCGCCAAGGGACTCTCCTGCTGGGTCCTACTGAGTGTGGAGTCCCCTAAGGTCCCCAAGTCTCTTCCATATCCACTTCTGTTTCTCCTTCTGTCCCCACCCCATCCTTGTGCAGCTGACATTTGGGACCAACACCCAAGATTGATATTCATCCCTGTTGAATTTTCCCTCTACCCCAAAGCTACTTCTGGGAGCCTGTGAAACCAGGATGAGCCTGCTTAGGGCCCATGGTCCCCTGAAAAGGGAGGTGTGACAAGATCTCCAGAGACGGGAAACAGCAGGTGGCTTTTCCAGCTGGGGAGGGTATTTCTGACTTGGGACCTGCTCAGAGGAGAATCAGCATGGTGGTCAGTGCCCCATCGGGACCTGTCTTCCAGTGTCACCCACCCCGGAACCCCACCTGCCGCTCTCTCTGATCCTCTCTGTCGTGACCTCTGCCCTGGTGGCTGCCCTTGTCCTGGCGTTCTCCGGCATCATGATCGGTGAGTGTGCCAGAGCCCCAGGGTTTCCAAACCAGGACCCACAAGATTAGGGTCTCGGGATGTACAAGGGACACCCAGGCATCACCCTGCCCCTCTGGGTCTCTGCTGGGTGAACTGCTAGGCCAAGTAAGAATAGAAGCATCAACCCTCTACCCACCATAGATTCTGCAGTTTTTGAGAGAACTCTGATGTCGATCTTTGACTCTGCATGACCTCCTGGCTGCCCACAGGGATGGACAGCCTTCAGTGGCCAACATGATGGAGAAAGCTCTTCCTGTACCCTCACCTTCACTGGCAGCTCTTCTGTGCTTGAGGGAACCCTGGCCATGGCTGGGGCTACTCCCTGTGTAACAACTCAAGTCAAACTAGCCAGGTCCTCCCACCCAACCAGAGAAAGCTGGTTTCTGAGCCTTTTCCATCCAACCAAGGTGAACTGATCTCAGGTCACAGAGGTTCAAAATGGACTACCTGACTATATGATGCTCTGACAGATAGGCAGAGACAAGAAGCTAGGCAGAGGGAATGTTCCAGAAGCATGCAGGCAGAATCATTCATAGGAGACCTGAGATACCTCTGATGGTCATTATGGGTCTCAAAATGCACCCCAAGATCCTCACTAAAACATCCTTCCACTGTGTGGCCTCCCTCATGCCCTAACTAACCCTTCCCTGTATGGTTCCTTCATGTTTAATGGATCTCAGCCATCTTCCTAATAAAATTCTAGCAAGTCCACCTGTGAGGATTAGTTTTCATTTTCAACTTGACATTATTTATAATCATTTGTGAGGATCATCTCAATGACAGATTGTCTAATTTAGGTTGATCCATAGGCATGTCTGTAAGGGATTTTCTTAAATGGATTAATGGACATGAGATGACCACACCTAAAGGTGGGCAGCACTATTCCCCCCAGGTTCAGATACTGGACCTGTATTTAAAAAGAGAGTACAGGAGATAAGTGCAGTCACGCGTGTATTCCTCCTCTGACCTTGACGGTGGATGTAACCAAACCACTTCAAGTTCCCGCCTGCCACCATGGCTCCCCATAAAGATGGGCTGTATCCTGGGACTGGGAGCTAAATAAACCCTTTCTCCCCATCATTGCTTCTGTAGGGCTATTTTATCACCACAACAGAAACAAAACACCGTTCCCATGTGACACGGTCAAATCTCCTCCAGTGAAGCATTTGTAAGCTTCAGGCTTCCTTTCCACAATGAAGGGATACCCTGGTGTACATCATCACTTGATTAGCATCGCTAACAGTGACAGGAAAGTTTGCGGCATCCTCACAACAGACCCCATCTGTCTACAGTGTACCGCCGGAAGCACCAGGAGCTGCAAGCTATGCAGATGGAACTGCAGAGCCCCGAGTATAAGCTGAGCAAGCTCCGGACCTCGACCATCATGACCGACTACAACCCCAACTACTGCTTTGCTGGCAAGACCTCATCCATCAGTGACCTGAAGGAGGTGCCACGGAAAAACATCACCCTCATCCGGTGAGCTCCCTGTCACTGCCCCAAGGCTGGACAGTTTCTCTATACCTTTGACTCCTCTAGCCACAAGGAGTATGAACAGCATACCTGGGATATACCTGCAACCTCTCAGGGAGACAAGGCTCATGGGGACATTTGCTTATTTCTACCCCCTGCGTGTTCATACAGTTTATGCAATGACAAGAATAAATTGATGAGAAGAACAAAGCTTCTCAAAACCCATCATGCACCCTGTCCTGAAGATTCCCCTCTGTTCTCTGAGTGCCCAAAATACCTATCATTTTCTCTATCATTCACTACAATGCTTCACAGCAGGGAACTGTCAATCATCTGTCCCTATCCCTAGAAGGTGTCACCTCTTCCAATCCAGAGTCACCTCTTGCCTTTGTCCCCGGCAGTACAGGAGACTCTCTAAATAGTCACTGGATGGGTAAACATTTGACCACCTTCATGAATCTCTGGTTAGATAGAACCTTCTGATCTGTTTTCTGTTGCAGGGTAGGTGCATTATAAAGGAAAGGGGTTTGTTTGGACTCAGAGTTAGGACCCAAGGTCTCCAACTCTGTCCAGCCATGACCTTGCTGCCAAAGACAGGGAGGCTCCACCCTAATGACCTTGTCTCCTCTAAATCACAACACTACTTTTCCACAGTCTTGTTTGTTTGTTTGTTCAAGACAGGGTTACTCTGTGCTTTGGAGCCTGTCCTGGCTCTGTAGATCAGGCTGGCCTTGAACTCACAGAGATCAACCTGCCTCTGCCTCCTGAGTGCTGAGATTAAAGGTGTGCACCACACTCTTGACACCTCATAGTCAGGATCCCTTCTCGGCCTGTGAATATCAAACCATCTCCAAATCTTAGCAGACCTCTTCTCACCAGAGTTCAGATAGAGAACTCGCTAGCAGAGAAAAAAATGAGTTTTCTCTAACAGAGTCTCAGTGGTTGTACAAACCGCACGTCAGGGCAGGTCCATGGCCGGAAGTCAATGGCCAACATAAAACAGACTCAGTGATATTTGGGGAGTGTTTTCTTTTTAAACCTTACAGGTCTTTTGCTTACGTATTATGGTTTCCGGTTTTGTGTTTATAGGGGATTTCTCCCAGTCTATTTGTATTTCTTATGCTTTTTCTTTTTTTTTTTCTGTTTGCTTTTTTGTTTCGCCCTATTCTAGTTTGTTGGTTTGTTTGTTTTCTTTCTTTCTTTTTTTAGATGCCTGCTTTTTTTTGTTTTGTTTTGTTTTTTGTTTTTTCGAGACAGGGTTTCTCTGTAGTTTTTTTTTTGGTGCATGTCCCAGAACTATCTCTTGTAGACCAGGCTGGCCTCGAACTCCCAGAGATCTGCCTGCCTCTGCCTCCCAAGTGCTGGGATTAAAGGCGTGCACCACCACCACCCGGTGCCTGCTTATTTTTTTAATGAGAGTAAGAAAAGAAGGAAGTGGATTTGGGTGGATGGGGAGGTGGCAAGGATCTGGGAAGAGTTGGGGGAGGGAAACCAATAATCAGAATATATTGTATGAAAAACTATCCATTTTCAATTCAAATAAAAAAGAAAATAAGGTAATTTTAAAAGAAGAAAGTAAATGAATGGAGGCCCAGGGTGACATAGGTGTAACTCCTGAGCGTACCAGCCTTGCCTCTTGTCTGTGACACTGAACATGACACTTAGCTCCCGTGGCTCACTTAACTATCTATGCCTTATCTTGTCTTCTCGGTACAGGGGCCTAGGCCATGGCGCATTTGGGGAGGTGTATGAAGGCCAGGTATCTGGAATGCCCAATGACCCAAGCCCTCTACAAGTGGCTGTAAAGGTGAGGGGTGGTTCCACCTTTCGCCTAGCCTTAGCCTGAGGTCCCTGTAGGCTACAACCCACAGCTCACAGCCGCCGTCTCCTCCCGCCCTTCCTTTCAGACACTGCCAGAAGTGTGTTCGGAACAAGATGAGCTGGATTTCCTCATGGAAGCTCTGATCATCAGGTAAAGTCACAGAGACCCTCCCTCCCCCCCCCCCCCCCGCCAGCCTCTCTCCCCACCTCTTGAGGCATATGAAGGTCTTCCTAATTGATAGGTATCTCCAGGGGAAATAGGGTATGTTGGTCCCAGCATGACCGCCCCCACCATCCAACAAGCAGAAGGATCCCTGAAGTAGAAGGACCCCCAGTGATTATCTCAGAAATTACCAGAGTGGCCTAACCACTGATAACCCTCTGCCTACAACCAGCATCCCAATGTCAAAAACTGATTCTTGTTCCTCTCTTAAGAAAGCAAGTTTCTTTCTGACATTAGATGATATAACCCATCCCTCCCCACCCCCTCCCCACCCAAAATAACTCTTCCATACCTGAGGTCCCTAGCCCATCCCAGCTCATAGGTTCTGTATAAAGGAATGGACGCCACAACGTGATGAAAGATAGCAGATTATCTTACCCCACATCTACAAGGACAGGACTGGCTTCACCCTGAAACTGGGGGACCAGGCCTGGATCGAAACCAAGGGCAGCTACTCTTGACATCAGGTCTCCCGAGGGAGGAGGCAGACTGTTACCCTTGATACCTGAAGGAAGTTTACAGCCTCTGCTGGCACTATGCAGCCTCCTCACATCCTGACCTAGAGAGGTGGACAGGGTGGTCCAGGTTGAAGTAGCAAGAGAATACAGCCAAGGCTGTATGAGTGATATGTTCATGAGCTCTGGGACACCAGAAAGATATACATTCAGGATAGTACTTGACTTTAAAAGCAATATTTATTTTCTGGATATATATATATATATATATATATATATATATAGAGAGAGAGAGAGAGAGAGAAAGTATTAAATAAGACCTAAAAAAGTGTAAAATTATATAAGAGAGCTTAATTATGTAATATTCCTACTAGGTTATAATAAATGGTAATAATAAATAATAATTATATTTCGGCATATAATCACTAGTCTCTCAGCTCACTGTGTGTGTATGTGGGGTGGGGGGCGGTTCCCAGTCTCACTGTTCTACACATCCTAAAATGACAAGGTAACCCAAATCTCGGAACCTCATGTTCCAATCAGTCCCTACCTATGTGGAATCCACAGGCGATTGCAGAGACCAGTGGGACCATCTTCCTGACTCTTTCACAGACTGTCTGTCCCGCTGCAAGTCACATGCTCTCCCTGTCAGAAACCAGTCCTTCAACTTCTACCTGAGACCTTCCTTAGAAGACTCAAGTATATATTCATGTAGCAATGCCCACACAAACACATGTGTGCACTCACACACACACACACACACACACACACACACACGTATATATACTTTGTCACTTTAAGGTCCCCCTCACTCCAGTAGAATTCCTTCCTGCTAATTCACCACCCACCAGGCCTGCTCCATCTACCCAGCTCCCCAGGGAGGTTCCCCTCAGGCTCAGCCAGGCACCCCACAGCCCATACATGTGGAATGCAGCTTTACAACATGGTTGCTGATGCTGTGACTCTTAATGTATCACATCAATGTGTCCGGCTTCTCTTAATGGTCCCAGACCCGGCTCGGTTAAACTTGGCTGTACCCTCTGCCCTGCAGCAAATTCAACCATCAGAACATTGTTCGCTGCATTGGAGTGAGTCTGCAAGCCCTGCCCCGCTTCATCCTGCTGGAGCTCATGGCTGGTGGGGACCTCAAGTCCTTCCTCAGGGAGACACGCCCTCGCCCAGTGAGTGAGACCGGGTCTTCCCTTCGGTGTTCATGTCAGTAAAAGAGCAAGGGGCGGGGTGGGGAGTGGGTTGCCGAGGAAGTTGCAGGGTAGATGGGATCCTGGAAGTCATCAGTACTATGGTCTGAACAGGAAGCGAATGGACAGGACCAGGTTAACAGAAAGAGCAGCAGTCAGAAGGAGATTGTGCAAGTCTTATACAATTGATTCAGTAGCCTGACTTCTTTTTATGACCTGATACCTCTGGGTCAGAGGGGCTTGTATGCCAACCATGTCACTAACTCGCTTCCCATCCACTGATTTGGAACCCACTGACCTCTTCTCTCGAACAAATATAATACACAGCATCCTGACTTTGTAGTTATCTGTAAAATAATGATGATGATAACAATAATCACAACATGCTGGAATATTTATGAGGATAGTGTATGTGTCTGTGGTGTCATGGATGAGGGACAAACTCTAAGGTGGGCCCATGAAGCCCAGCCTCCCGCCCCTGCACTGCCATCAAGTGCCATATACTCCAGGCAATCCACCTTCATTTACCTTAACATTTGTGCAGGTGGAGCCTGAAGGTCAGAGTGACGCTTCCTAGATATGACTTGGATGACAAAGCACTGCATCTCCAGCCACCAAGGGTTTAGTAAAACCTTTCCCTGAAGGGGCTTCAGGAGGCCCCAGTCACTAGGAACAGGAGCAGAGCAGGCTGGGGTCAGGACCTTGACTTTCTCAAGGGATTGCCACAAAGAAGACTAGGTCAAGAAGAGCAGTGGCTGCCAGCCCTGCCAGAGAAAAGCAAAGTGAGCCTGACACCCTAGTGACGGAAGGTCGAGAGCTGACCACACTGCTTACGGGGACTAGAAGAAGAGGCAGGGAGGGACCCTGGGATATCTGCTCTAATCTCCATCTCCAATCAGGCTGTTTAAAACACCCCCTCAGGACGTAGCTCATCTGTCTAAGATCTTGCCTCGCATCCATGATGCTCTGGGTCCAACCCCCATGTAATGTAAATCAGGGCTCGTGGGAACATAGCCGAGAAACGGATGAAGGAGAATCACGGGTTCAGGGCCACCCACAACTGCATAGTGAGTTTGGAGCTAGCCTGGCATAACCGAGCCACTATTTCAAAAGGAAATAAGTAAATAAAAGCAATATAGTCCCATTTTAGGATCCTCCATAAACAGCTGGATGACACAACTGGACACCTAAAATATCCCATCTTACCCCCTTGCAAAAGAACGGCATGATGCTGGGAGACAGGAGGGAAAGACTAACCCCACTCGTGAACTGTTCTTGTCAACATCATTGTCAACACCGCTGTCCTCTGAGCGTCCACACCTAACACTGCCCTGTGAAGCAAACAGTGCAGAGCTCATGCCATGTTACAGATGTGAAAACTGGGACTCTTAAAGGTTATCGGCATGCCAAAGCCACAGGAAGGAGAAAACCAGGACTAAAACCCGGATCTCCTGGTTGAACGGTCATGTAGGTGCCGAGAATTGAACCCAGGTCCTCTAGAAGAGGAGCCAGTGCTCTAATCACTGAGCCATCTCTCCAGCCCCATGTTTAAAAACATTTTAAGCGCTAGGGAGATGGTTCAGTAGTTAAGACACTGGTGGCTAACGTGCTTGCCCTACAAGGACTGGAGCTTGCATCCCCACATCATCTCATGGAAATGTCTTGTGGGCCAGGTAACCTGCCTGCAGTCCAGTCCCAGAAGGTTGAGACAGGGCATCTCTAGAGCAAGTGGCTAACAAGATCAGCCATGTTGCCATGTCAAGGCGCTCTGGCATGCATAACCACCTACACACACACACACACACACACACACACACACACACACGGAAAAATACAATAAATACACAGACCATTTAAAGACACTGCAATAGAAGATTTCAAAAACATTATTCTCCATTGGCTTTCTCCAAGGCTTGTTTCTCATGCCCAGGAAGTCTGGAGTAGAAGCATTGTAGAGTACATGAGAGTAAGAATATCTGTTCTGTTGGATTCCTGTGGCCTAGGCAACCCTAGCCCTGGCTGTACATTAGACTCACCTGGGGTGCTTTTAAATATACAAAGCCATGCCTATCCAAAAGGACGAATTTCTTGACATTGTTGGGGTAAACCAACTTGTTTTTAAAGGGGTGAGAGAACTGGGAGAGCAGCGTGGGCTCAGCTTCCTCACAAAGAGAAGCCCATATTCCAGCTTTCTCTCTTCCACAAAAGCCTCATCAGCACACGCCTCTTCTCTGCCCACAGAACCAGCCCTCCTCCCTGGCCATGCTGGATCTACTGCATGTGGCTCGGGACATTGCCTGTGGCTGTCAGTACCTGGAGGAAAACCACTTCATCCACCGGTGAGCCAGTGACCTTCATATCCTTGTAACCCAAATGAGTCCCCGTTGGTCCCAAGAGCACCTCTTTGTTGTCTAGGTTCTCTGGGATTGTGAATTGTAGGCTGATTTTTCTTTGCTTTATGTCTAAAAGCCACGTATGAGTGAGTCCATATTATATTTGTCTTTCTGAATTTGGGTTACCTCACTCAATATGTTTTCCAGATCCATCCATTTGCCTGCAAATTTCAAGATGTCATTATTTTTTTTGTGCTGTGTAGTACTCCATTGTGTAAAGGTACCACATTTTCCTTATCCATTCTTCAGTGGAGGGGCATCTAGGTTGTTTCCATGAACCTTGTGTTTAAATGCTGTGTGGACTGCGGTATCCTCATGCTCACTGCTCATGAGCATCATGGATCGCGTGTTTCCTCCCTCATGGACGTTGATGATAGCCGGATCTAAGATCTGAAAAGTCCTATGTATATTACTCTTCTTAATGATCTGCTTCCAACTCGGTAAATGGTAGTCCAGCGAACTCACAATGATTTATTAGCCCAAGACTTCAAACCATTTAAGTGGTGCTCATCACCATTAGCGCACATACATAGCCACAGACCTAACAACAAGAGTCCTGTGTGCATTTAGAAGAGAAGTGTGGAGCACACACCAGCTAGGCTTTCTCCTGCTAGAATGAGGAAGCTGGAAGTCAGGAACTGGACTTCACCCAGGTTCTCGAAGTCACTCTCAGACAGTAGCCTCCTTAACCACTTTCTCCCTTCCCTGCCCATCCATTGCTTTGGTCCTCGGTCCTGCCCCTTGTTTTTAACCTTTTCCAACTTTCAGATCTTTCTGCTTGATAGAAATAACAAGAGCAAGAGGGCAGCCGGGACCACTCCTTTGTGTCTTCATCTAGAGCCACATAGTCTGCTGCCCTGTGTATTGTGCCCAAAACTTTCCATAAAACCCCCAGCCCCAGGCTCTTCTGTTTCTCAGTTGAAGCAAGTTTGTGCTCTTTTGGGAATGAGCCTCCATTAAAGCCACTTCTTTATTTTTATTTTTATTTTTTTTTGGTTTTTCGAGACAGGGTTTCTCTGTGGTTTTGGAGCCTATCCTGGAACTAGCTCTTGTAGACCAGGCTGGTCTCGAACTCACAGAGATCCGCCTGCCTCTGCCTCCCGAGTGCTGGGACTAAAGGCGTGCGCCACCACCGCCCAGCCAAGCCACTTCTTTATTTTTTGCCTATGATCTTTAAGACTGGACTCATCTACAAGCAATCTGTGTGCTGCCTGGGTGACTTCAGGGTCTGCCTTTGCTTCCTATGGAGATGGCTTCAGTGCTGGCATTCCACACATGTTGAGCACCATAGCGGCAGAGTATCCGACTGCAGGAATCGTTTCCTTTACTGACACGCTGAAATCACTTCCTTATGATGCTCTCCCATGCTCTATAAGAGATACCAGGATCATATTCTTCCAAGACGCTCTACCACCCCCAGGTCTAGAAATGATTCATGAAGATCAGAATCAATCTCTCTCTCTCTCTCTCTCTCTCTCTCTCTCTCTCTCTCTCTCTCTGGGGGGGGGAGCACATATGTGTTTGTGTGGATGTATGCACATAATGACTACATGTCCAAGTGTGCACACATGCCTGTGGATGCCAGAGCTTGGTACCAAGTGTCTTCCTCGGTCAACCTCCATCTTACAGCTAAGACAGAGTCCTTCTCTTTGCCTGGAGCTCATCACCTCAGCTAAGCTGGTCAGTCAAGGGACTTCAGGGATCTATCTGCCTGTGTCCGCCTCCCCTGTGCTAGGTTACAAACACAGGCCACCACCCCTGGCTGCTTATGTGAATGGTGGGAGACCCAAACTCGGTTTCTCGTGCTTCCACGGCAAGCTCTTTCCCAACTGGGTCATCTCCCCAGCCTCTCATTTTGTCTTCTTCAAGAAATTGAATTGTCAAAGGTCAAGCAAAGATTGTATTGGATGACCTGTTGGAAGCAAAAGGGATCATCTGGAAATTGCTCACCTCCATAAGAGCCTTTCTCCTGGGCTCCTGTGGTGCTCTGTATCAGGGAAGGGCCTTTTGCAGCTCCCCACTGGCTGAGAAGCACGTGGGATGCTCCTCACAGTTGGCTCTCCCTCCCACCGTTCAGAGTCCCCGGCTGCCCCTCAGCAGACTGGTTCAACTGGAGCATATGCCCCCACCTTCTCTCGTCACCAAAATTTGTTGCTTTTGGAATGGTTTGCTGAGATTTCAAGATGTATGTGCCGCTCTACCAACTCCTTGTATGCTTGATGCTATTATATTTATATCCTCATCATCATATTCAAAGTTGCTTTTTAAGCAGTGGTCTCATATACTGCAGTGTAAAAATAAATATTTTTCCAGATCCACTTAATATTTCTCTTTAGAATTAATGGCTGCTTCCCTTTATCTTGATGCCGTACATCTTATGCTTTTAAGGGTCTCTTTGGACGTTTTGTGGAGCAATGCTCCTTAAAAATTCAACTTCAACCTTATGAACTGGGTAGGTGACATTAACAAGCATTTACTTCTCATTCCAGACCATTTTTCTGAATTTTAAGTCTTTATCCCTAGGTCATACTTTTAAAAATACTTAAATTTAACCTTTGATCTTCTTAGTTTTTCGTGAGTACAAGTGGCTTGCCTGCACTTGTATGTAAGTATTGCACAATGTATGTCTGATATCTGTGGGAGTCAGAAGAGGGAGTCAGATCCACTGGAACCGGAGTTACAAATGACTGTGAGTCACTATAGAGGTGCTGGGAACTGAACCAGGTACTCTGCAAGAACACTAAGTGTTCTTAACTGCTGAGCCAACTCTCTAGCTCCCTCTTATTTTACATTTTAAGATAGGGTTTCACCAGGTAGCCCAGGCTAGCCTAGAACTTGCCAGATAGCCCAGAATAGCCTGAAATTCAGGTCCTCCAATCTCGGCCTTCCAAATGCTAAGAATGGAGAGATAGACTACCTTCCCAAGCTTTCTACTTTCTTTTTCAGTGTGTGTGTGTGTGTGTGTGTGTGTGTGTGTGTGTGTGATGTTGCTGTATATACATGCATGTTTTCCATAAACAAGGGCACATTTGTGTAAGGGCATGCGCACCACATGTGTTCTCATATATGTGGAGGCCCAAAGAGTGATGTCAGGAAGTATTCTCTTTCACTTTTCCACCTTATTCACTGAGGCAGGGTCTCTCAATCAAACCCAGAGCACACCAATACAGTTAGTCTTGCTAGCCAGCCTGCCCTGAAGATCTCCTGTATCCACCTTCCAAAGCTAAAACTGCAGGCGTGTCACCAACCATCCCTGGCATTTATGTGGGTTCTGGAGATCTAAACCCAGTCCTCCTGTCACAGAACAGCACAATGTTCCATAACCATTGAGAAATCTACCCCCACCACCCATTCACATTTTTAAAAAGCCATCTTAGCCAGTTGTTTATTCTCCAACTTCTCCCTCAACCAAGGATAAGAACCTCCACGAAGCCATTTAAAATATAAAACACCATCTGTGCCCATAAGGTGCTTGTTTTGTTTGTTGCGTTTGGTTCTAATTTTTCTGCATAGGGTTTAACAGGATTAGCACTGCGGGCTGGGGTCTGGTTCTCAAATGGATGTCAAGGCAGAAGCCGTCTGGGGTCGTCAAGGGGGACAAGTCTGGGAAGTTCTGCAGCGGGGCCTCAGAGGCATGCTGAAGGAAAGTGAGCCTCCTGGAGCCTGGGAACAGAGTGCCAGTTTCTCCACTCAGAAGTGTCTCTTCAGCTGCCTAGCTGCATGTTTTAGCAAAGGCAGTAGATACAGTCACCGCTGGAGGAACCACACGGGCTGTTACAGAAACAAAACAAAACAACAGCCTGGCAATGGTGGTGACACACGCCTTTAATCCCAGCACTTGGGAGGCAGAGGCAAGTGGATCTCTGTGAGTTCGAGGCCAGCCTGGTCTACAAAGAGAGTTCCAGGACAGCAAGGACTACACAGAGAAACCCTGTCTTGAAAAAAACAAAAGCAAAAACAAAAAAACAACTAGAAATGTTTGGAAATATGGTAACCTATTTGAATTTGAAGTCGTACTGTTCTGGAACATTTCTTCAAACTACTGGCGAAACACTAACCCATACTCTATGTATAACACTATACACTATACTCTATGTATAAAAATATCCCAAAGCCAGGTTGCATTTCTTATGCCCCTGTGTTGTCTGCCTTTAGCTTAGATTTTTCATAAAATGAGGATGATTATAATACGCTGTGTACTGTAATGAGAATTAGCCTTTAACAGTGTCTTGTTAAAGACCAGCAAGTTCTACTTTACATTGTAGTTGACTTCATGACTCATATCACACTAAGCATTGTTATATGTATAAGGAGCCTCGAAGTCAGCACAGAACACACTCAGACACTAAATTCTCGCCACAAAGAAGATTTATAGGCTGCAGTGGCCAGTGAGGGGGGCGCCTCTGGATCTGCAGAGGCAGACAGTAGGTGTTTCTGTAGAAGTGGTTTTAAGGAGAAAGGGGGAAGTCTGATAGGGTGAATTAGTAAGTCCTGATTGGACAGGTTAGCCAGTGTAGTCCAACAATGAACTTTAATTGCTGGACCATGGTGTTTTGATAGTTGGACCTTGGAGTTCAGTCTCAGGCATGAGTCAGTAGTCAAATAAGGGAATGAACCCTGGGGGCTAGCTTTAGGAATGTAACCTAACGGTTGAGCAAGGAAGGGGGAAGGGGCAAACCTGTTGGCACCCTGAGTGCCATGTTTGGGCCTGTTAGAGAGCCCTTCAATATTAGTTGCTTTTTTGTTGCTGAGATAAAACACCATGATCAAAGGAGAGTTTATTTGGGCTCACAGTCCCAGAGGGAGAGTCCACAATGGTGAAAGAAACACAGTAAGCTAAGAGATCACGTCTTCACCCACAAACACAGAGAGTGAACTGGAAGTGGGGTGAGGCAGTAACCACTTAAAGGTCACCCCTAGTAATATACTTCCTCCAGCCTCCACCTCCCAATGATTCTACAACCTCCCCCCAAAACACCACCAGCCAGATACCAGGAAGTGTTCAAATCCATGAACCTGGGAGGGGCATTTCTCATTAAAGCCATCACAGTTCCCCTAATCTTGGTCTGGAATTGGCATTGCTATTTCCTCCACTATGCGGTATAATACAACAGCATAAACACAGGGAGAAGAAAAGAACACTTTGAACTTCACCGGAGGTGAAGGTGCTAGGACGTTTTATGAATAAAATTCAGAAACCTATTTTCTCATTCAATCCTCTTCCCAGGGATATTGCTGCTAGAAACTGTCTTCTAACCTGTCCAGGCGCTGGAAGAATAGCAAAGATTGGAGACTTTGGGATGGCCCGAGACATCTACAGGTAAGAGAATTGCCTTGGTCCCCCAAGGGCTTCCCCCACCATCCAGTCTCCTCAAATAGATACCTATGCAGGCCTGCACCTTACATCATCTGGTACCTTGTCAACCCCCCACATGGACTTCCGATGAGTGCCTTCCAAGAGATAAGAATCTCTTATTAGTGCCTCATCTAATCTCAGCAGCTATTGATAGCATGTTTCATTTGGTTTATCTCTCTTGCTCCAACTCTCTCATCCTGCCATGTTCTAACAGAGTAACACAGACACTTGATGTGTGACAAGCTTTGAAGTGGTCTTTACACCTTACTCAACCCATGCCCTCAACTCTCAAAAATTCTAAATAATTACAGTGGCGTTCATCGTCAGAGACACAAGCTCCCTGGAATGAAAAGGGTCCTGGGCCTTGCCAAAACTCAGAGACATAGAAATATTGTTCAAAACGCAAAAGTCCCTCTGAAATTCAACTTCATTGTTTTTTTCCCCTCTATTATTGTCTCAAAACTACATAAAAATTACCAGTGAAGGAACGATGATGTATCATAGTGGTAGAGCACTTGTCATGCATATATGAGGGCCAGTCTTGACCCTCAACACTATAAATAATCATAATGATAGTATTAAATAAAGGGTTTTTGTTATAAAATGTAGTGGTTTTGTTGTACTTTATTTCCCAACATGTAGTTTCTTATTTTTCTAATTATTTGCAACTCTGCCATGCTAGACAAGATGAGCAAACTGTTGCTTTACATGGTCACTCATTGGTCCCTTCCCTAATGCCCAGAAGTGGGAACATGGTTACATAGCGCTTTCGTTATCTGAGGAATGAGGACAAACATCTAAAAACTCCATAGGACTTGGGTGAGAATCAAGAGGCATCTCCAGGGGCCAGGACCATCAGTTCTGCGCTGAGACCTTAAGGCCACAGAGTATGGAGGCCGGAATCAGTGAAGGGTTCTTTGGAGTCATCTACTGCTGCCATCTGCGCAGGCCTTTCCCATCTTAGCTGTTTTCTCATCTCTGTGATCAAATACCCTGACAGAAGCAACTCAGGGATGAAAGGGTTTATTCAGTTCTCAGCTCAAGGGTGCAGTCCATCATGGTGGGGAAATCAAGGCAGAAGGGTCTTGCAGCAGCTGGCCACACCATGCCCACAATCAGGAAGCAGAGAAAGATAAATGCATGCTCAACTTGCTTTGTTCTTTTTTTTTTTCAGTGCAGAACCCAAGTCCAGGGAATGATGCCATCCTCCTCTAGGGTTGGTCTTCCCACCTCACTTAACCTACTCAAGATAATCCTTCACAGGCTTACCCAGAGAGGCTCATCATCCGGGAGATTCTGGAGTCTAGGAAGCTGGGAATCAGCATTAATGGTCACAGCCTCCCCTGAGTCTCTGCACACCTCCCTGTACCTTCTCAGAACATTGGGGACTGCCTCCAGTTTCAAACAGAGCAGTGTAGCATGTTGTCCAGCTTGTCATCCCTTACTGGGGCTTCCTCTCTGATAGCTTCCTGTGACAAACGTGTGAGCTAAATGAATTTATAGGGATGAAAATATTGACTTTGGACCACATTTAGAGTGCCCTCAGTCCATGGCCATATGTTTGACTTCTTTGCTTCTGGATTATGGTATTATGGTGCATGGGGACAGGAGCACATGACATCATGTCACCTCGTGGTAGACAGAAAACAAAGATAGAAAAGGGGATGAGTGGACTGTGGTCCACACATCTTCAAGAGCCTGCTCCCAATGACCTCACTGCCTTCTGGTAAGCCCCACCTTTTAAAGGTTCCACCGCATCCCAGAAGTGCACCAGGCTGGTAACCAAGGCTCTAGCATGTGGCTGCTAGGGACCCTTAAGATCCAAACCGAAGCAATTCCTTTCTCCAGACTTCAGTCATCCTTGCTGACCTCGATGTTCTGAACCAGGAATGGTCTTTGGAGAGAACTCCTTGGCCAGCTCTCTGTAATGCCACCCTTGTATGTGCCCTTACTTAATATACAGAAAATCAACCTTTCATCCATATCGCTGAACTCCATACCCACCCCATTATCATACGCAGTGTCAGTACCGCGATTTCAGGTGTGTGTGTGTGTGTGTATCTTTCACTGAACTGTATCCTTGGGAGGAGGAGAAATTATGATTTATTTATGTCCTCAGTACAAGGCAGAGCACTTGATACATCCTAATACTCAGAACATCTTTATTGAAGTCATTAATTAGTGCAGACAGCTGGTGGAAAGCCACCTCCCATAACACGCACAGGCACAGAACATCAGGCTAGGTGTGGAGTTGGCTTAACGGGTAAATGGGTTAATTTATTAGTTCTTATTAGCTAGTTGCATCGATGGCATTACTGATGAAACTAATAAGTTAATTCATCTATGTGTTAAGCCAGCTCCATGCTCAGACAGCCCTGTGCCCTGTCTGGATGTGTTGCGGGAAGCGGCCTCTGGCCAGCTGTCTGGGTTATTTGTTGAGTGCCAACAGTGAATGAAATGCCACTGTCTCAATGTCACGGAGGATCAGAAATGAATAGGGCACGAGCCCTGTCCTCAGCCCTCCCATTCTGGAAGTCAAATTACTGTAGGTCATCACAAACACGCTGTACTTATAAGGCTGGAGTAATGTTATTCATTGTGAGTTATAATAAAACCCAACAGGGAAATCTAAACAGCCACTAGCAGGGATCTTAGTCACCGCATAGATCTTTTCCTTTGTGCCTCCAGTGGGCCATTAAGTGACACCAAGATTCTTAACTAAATGATCTGTGCTCCCCTACTCTCCTCCCCAGACACCCAGGACCTGCCTTTAAATTCAGTGTTTTTTTGTTTTTTGTTTTTTTCCACCGACAGGCAGTGTTACAGTGTCTTTCTCAGGCTTCCAGGCAGAGCTGCTGTTCATTGACCCCTTCCAATCCAAGCTTGGTCTCTTCTTCCCCCACAGGGCCAGCTACTATAGAAAGGGTGGGTGCGCCATGCTGCCAGTGAAGTGGATGCCCCCAGAGGCCTTCATGGAAGGAATATTTACTTCTAAAACAGATACATGGTGAGTCTTCCCTCTGCCCTCCTCCACATATCACTGTGACTTAGTGAGGATCTCGGACCAACTGGACCACGCTCCTCTGAGAAAAGGTGTATGATACAGAACAGGGGAGACCTTGGTGGCTCCCATGGCAGGTGAGGAATGTGGGCGGGAAACAGAATACACCATGCAAAGAGAGCGTGGGTATAGAGTTTATTTAGAGGGTATTGGGAGTAGAGTGGGGAGAGAAAGAAAGACAGACAGACAGAGAGACAGAGAGAGAAAAAGAGGAAAGAGGAGAGGACAGGAGAGGAGAGAAGATGGAGATGAGCTTGCCTTGGTAGGAAGAGAGAGATTAGGAATGGGCAGAACTTGTCTCTTAAAGGGACAAGATACTACCCGGGTTCATCCTGCCTGGTGACAGGCCAGGCCAGCAGAATCCTAACATTCCCAAGTATCTTTCATCATAAAAATGTGGGGGAAATTAAAGAGGATAGCAAGTGGGACGGGGATGGGGAACCAGGTTCTCAAGACTGCTTCCTGCTGATTTGTGGCCATTGAATTCTTGGAGGATGCTGGCCATGTCCTGGGGTGTCTGGTTGTTTCACTTCTGTCCAGACACTGTGAAACTGTTCGGTGTCTCTTGGGCCTGGCAAAGTGCTGACATAACAGAGGTTAAGTTTAGGGGAAAAAAAAAAAAAACATTTCTTTCAGTCCTGGTGATTGAGGGGGAGGGTGTTAGGACCAGGGAAAGGTGGGAAGCTTGGGCTCTGAGGGCCTTGTAAATGAAGGAGGGGTGCATATGACCTGTTTAAGGTGAATCCTCCAAGTCGGCTAGCTCCCTGGAATTTACAAGAGTTCTTTGAGCTTGTGAAAACGTAAGTTTTAGACATGTACATTGTATAAACGGCAGTATAGTTATGCCAGAAATAACTGTGATGCATGTTTTTGCACAATGAAAAGTATCTTTGAGGTTTAGAGTTAGAAAATGACCAAAGAGAACTTAAAATCTTGATCTTGCAGAGTAGTAGTGATAGTACTCTGCCAGAGCGAGATTAATAATTTATCAGAATTTTATTGATTAGTGTTAAGACCATGAACGGCAGTGTAATGAGAGAGAAATCTGATTACTTGCATCTGTACACCTTACAACACTTTTTAGATCCTAAAACTTTCCCTGACCCTCACATCATAAAACACCTTTCATTGAAGCGTGGTAAAACGTTATGCTGAAATCTGTTCCGTGAGGTTGTCCCTTTTAAACTGGTAAATCTTCCAGCCGTCAAACAGCATCAGAGTTCTTGAGAAGGATAACATTTTACCTGAGTTATTGATTTAAAAATTGGCCCAAAACTTACTTGATTGGCTACCTAGACACCACTTCCCAGGGTCCTCCAAGGTTGATGAGGGCAGGGGCATTGGGGCAGCATTTGCCTTCTGCTGTTAGCACAGGGCCTGCCAGGCTTCAGAAGATCCTATGTTTCAGGAGTCTGTAGGAAACCAGCCTACCTTGCCCTGGGCAGTTGATTCCAGTGTCTTGTTGTCCACTGTCTGGAGATCTTCAGCAGTTTAGATGAAAGACAGTTTATCCCAGTGGCTAGCGCTTTCACTTGATGAAGTGGGTTGCAGATAGACGTTCTTCTGTGCCCATTTATCTTCTTTGGAGGAAATGGGGAAGCTACCAGAGTCAACCTGGCTCTCTGTTACAAAAAGCTTTTTAATAATTAAGCATTTAAATGCCATATTCTCCAGCTCTCTGAGCATTTGAGGGCTGTCTATTGGATGTATATGATTCGGCAAACTTTGTCTTTAGTTACTTGTCTTAAGCACACAGATGGCTAGTTAAGGCTTTACCCCTCTCATTAATTGCATCAGTACCCAGCATGGCCACAATTAACAAGCTTAGTCATTTATAAGATGACTCTTGACTTGCATTCCTCAACAGTCTACAACAGGTTGGCAGAGTCCATAAGATTAGAACTTTACATTATATTCCTGCCAGGTTTAGCCTGAAAAGCAATGATTTTGAATTGAAGCTCCTTTATTGTCAAAATAAAACCTTTTAATGAGCTCAGAAAAGAAGTCAAGATAGCCATTTTGATCAACAAACACATGCTGTTGCTTATTTAAATTCTCTAGAAGCTTGGTGTTGAACCCTTGGCAAAGACATAGTACTTAGCTTTTGTTAATCTGAAATACATCTTTATAACCTTAAATTTTTATCACCATGTATAATACATTTTAAAACAGAGTTGAATCATATATACTGTATGTTGTAATAGATCTAACCATATTTTTATCATCATTTAAGAAGTACATACCAATTTAAAATACTTGAGACTTATTGCTTTCTTAGTCTAGAAGGAGATGCAATGAACATAGTTCATTAGGACTGCTTAAAACATTTTTTAACAGTAAGTACATGTGCAAATATACATGGTTGAATTCAAATTGCACACACATACAGAGTTAAACCTAGTTTATATTTGCACATAAAGTTAAGAAAGTGTTGTAATAAGAGCAGCTGGGCTGCATCCCTGGCACCCAGCCGCCCACATGGCTAGCTCTAGCTTATGCCCCAAAATAATTACACGGAAACTGTATTCTTTTAAACACTGCTTGGCCCATTTCTATCTAGCCTCTTCTCGACTAACTCTCGCACCTGGACTAGCCCATTTCTTATAATCTGTGTAGCCCACGAGCTGGCTTACCAGGAATGATCTTAACCTGTGTCTGCCTGGAGTGGGAGAATCATGGCGACTCCTTGACTCAGCTTCTTTCTCCCAGCATTCTGTTCTGTTTACTCCTCCCACCTATGTTTTAACCTATGAGGGCCAAGCAGTTTCTTTATTGCTTAACCAATGAAATCAACAGATAGAAAGATGACCCTCCTCCATCAAGAAAGGGAGAGAGAAAGGAAGTGGAGAATCAAAGTCGAAGATTCCTAGCTAACAGATCTGCCTCAGGGGGGTAGGGTCCCTGCAATGTAGAGCTAAAATGCAGCAGGCAGTGGGCAAGTGGTTGCCCAGAGCAAAGATGGCAGTGAGGTGCCTCCTTGCCCTTAGACAAGATGGCAGTGGTCGCATGGTCACCCATAGCAAAGATGGCGATGAGATCCTCTGACCTGTCCTCCTTGCCCTTAGTCAAGATGGTAGCAGTCACAAGGCACAAGGCATGGAGAAACCACATGTTTTTTAGAGCAACCCTAGGAATTCTGTGCAAATTTTAAATGGATCCAAATAACAAGAGAGACATATGGGACATGTAAAACATACATTTAAAACAGAATCACATCCATGTGGTCACACGGCATTCACACATTATTTTATACATGTAGTAGATCAGAAACTTCCCCAGCATAAATTGCCAATCCACAGGCAGGCAAGAAAGAGGAACCCGCAGTGGCAGTGGTGGCAGAGACAGGGCTCCATGAAGAGTGGGCATAGGACAGGTAGAAGAGAAACATTTTTAACAGGAGAACAAAATAGAACGTTCCCTGGTGGAGAGAGGATCGCACTAAGAAAGGCTTAGCCGCGGTGGGAGGCGGCAGGAATCTGTCTGGGGGACAGGGTTTAGCATGGCTGGGCTACACTCTGGGAAGGAAAGGCAGACAGACAAGCAGAGAGAAGGGACAAAGAACAGAGACCGCGTTTCCAACTACCGATCACTGCAGAATGTTATAAGGGATGGGAGTGGCACGATTTCCATTAGTAAGATAGGAAAGAGAAAGTCCAAGAGACTGAACTCCAGCATCTCATAAATTCAGCATGAACCATGGCTCAAGCTGGCCCTGGGTCACCACCTACAGGGTCCAGGGGTCGTGGGGCTGGGTGGGCACAAGCCATACCCGTACATGGTCATGTGAGGCTGGGGGCCCGAAAGGCACGTGATTGCCCAGTACTGGGGCTTTTCACGCTGGGAACCACAGCTGGGACAAATCCGCACTTCTGGAAGCACAGCCAGAGGTGGGGGAGGGACCTACTGTTATTGACGAAGTTGTGTGAAATTCCAGCTGATGGGCAGGGAGGGAGTTGGAAAGTGAGCTGTCCGTCCACGTCCAGACCTCTGCGTGCCTCAGCAGTCTGCCCGCAGGTGGAGAGAGCCTGGCCAACATCAGCATCATGTCACCGTGGTAACACATACTCCTAAGAAGAAGGGGTACAAATGTAGTCCTCCCCACACTCCTTAGCCCCAGCTGAGAGGTATCCCACTGAACCCCTGTCCAGGAATGCTCAAACCTGCCCAGTGAGAAAGAATAAGGACATCCAGAGAAGCCTAAGGGAACATGACAGCTCACTGTAATATGATGTCCTAATGGGATCTAGGAAGAGAAGAGGGAAATTCAATGAAAACTGAGGCAATCTGAATAAACTATGGGTTTTAGTTAATAATGCCTTAATGCTAATCCATTAATTGTAATTAATGTACCGTGTTAGTGTGTTGTTAAAATAGTGAGAATTGGGTATAGAGTGCATGAAAACATAATATTGATAATACAATCCTTTCACAATGTGAAGCATTCTATTTAAAAAATGTTTCTTTTTTTCATCTGATAACTGAGATGTAAAAGTCGTGGCTGGATTGGAATACAGAATTTAGTTAAACTTCAGGGAAGTGAAGCAATTCTAAAGAGATGGGAGGTGTAGGAAAGAAAAGAGAAGAACATTGAGAAGATTAAGTCAATTGATCTGATAAGCTAGCAAAATAAGAGTCCCGGGAAGAAGGACACAGAAAATACAAAAGATAAAAATGCCAAAGCAATAAAGGAACATTGTCTAGAACAGGATGTACACAGGGTAAAGGTATCCACTAAGTGTCAGGCTGCACAGCCCGGGAACCACACAAGCGTGTCGCCTGAAGTTCCAGACCAGAGCTGATAATGACTCTGCATTATTCAACCAGAAAAATAAATGAGAAACTGGCCAGAGGTTAAAAAGTCAGGGAATCAAAGTGGCGTGGAAATGGTTCCTAGCACAGAAAGCACAAGACAATGGAAATGTCCTTGAGTTCTGAAAGCCCCATAT